TGGTCACCCTGTCGTCCCCCAGCACTCCCAGTCCCTCTCCGCAGAGCTGCTCTCCAGCAGGTCCGCCCCAGCCTGTACTGGTGCCTGGGGTTGTTCCTCCCCAGGTGCAGGACCCTGCCTTTGCCCTGGTTGAACCTCATCAGGTTCCTCTCTGCCCAACTCTCCAGCCTGGCCAGGTCTCGCTGAATGGCAGCACAGCCTGCCGGGGTGTCCACCACTCCTCCCAGCTTTGTATCATCAGCAAACTGGCTGAGGGCACGCTCTGACTCTTCACCCAGGTATTTATTCCCTTGAAAGCAGCTTGGCTCCACACCAATGCAACCAAAGGCACACATTTTCTAGCCTGTCTTCCAAGTATGACACGAGAAACAGGAAAATAAACTAGCCTGACTTCCAGATTCATGGTACGGCTACTCAGTGTGGTCTGCTAGAAATGGCTTTATTGAAAAACAACAATTCCGATGCCGTGCCTTGTGAACCGAGGGGTCCCCGTGTATCCTACAAACGGCTGCACCCCCTCCAATTCTCTCTTCAAGCACAACAAGCACAGACGTGCCATGATGTCACAGGTGGTGACCTTATAATTGCTGGGGACCTTCAAAATGCCTCTAAATATCTGCAGGGTGGGGGTCAGGAGGACGGGGCCAGACTCTTCCCAGTGGCGCCCAGGGACAGGACAACGGGCAATGATTACACTGCTTTGTTAACCTTTCAAAAGCATGAAAAAATTAGCAGAGAGCAAGAGTATGCGTTTGTGTGTGTCTGCCAGAAAGGGTTTCTGTACAATTACAGACCCTCTGGTCAGTATAGCTCTCGGCGCTAGAATATTTGGGGGGAAAAAATCCCATTTAAAATATACTTGGTCTTTCTCAAGCTTTTACAACTCTCTACCTTTGTTTGCCTTGCTTAGCAAAACCAGCTGGTATTAACTGCGCTTCGTACACCGCCCTGGCCCAGGCTGCCCAGGGAGGCTGTGGAGTCTCCTTCTCTGGAGATATTCCAGCCCCGCCTGGCTGCGGTGCTGTGCAGCCTGCTCTGGGTGACCCTGCTTGGGCAGGGGGCTGGGCTGGGTGACCCACAGAGGTCCCTTCCAGCCCCTGCCATGCTGGGATTCTGTGGTGGGGTGGAAATTTCAAGGACAGCTGGGGGTCACACGAGCCTCTCCGATAAGTCGGCTCCGATGTTCTGAGCGAGGCTAGTGAGCAGCAGCATTATCATCGACGCTTCTTCAGAACAGGAACTGCGAAAACTACATCAAATCCAAGTCTGCAAACCCTTCGCCCACATCATTGTAAATCCGTTAGCAGCAGGCACAATCTCTGCCTTGTGTACGTGTCCAAACACGTACAGAAACACGCTTAAACTAGCTAAACAGGAAAAAAAGAGCACAGGAAGAATGGCTACACACAACAGCATAAATATTTTACCTTTCTGTATGCTGTCTTCCATTAAAGGTAAAATTTCGGCTGTGTTAAAAGAAGCACAAGTGGAAATCATTCCTACCAGAGTCTGCAACAGTTCGGCTGCGTACGGAGGTCTGGTTACCCCCAACATGATCTGTGCTGGCTCTTGGTCAGGAGGCATCGACACCTGTCAGGTAAGAGCCGGCACCGGGCCCGACGTGCCACGACAGCAAGCACCACGGCAGCGTCTCCGGGGCACGACGAAGGCCAGCAGCCGCAGCGTAATTAACTGAAACG